CCAGGTCCTCTATAAGAACAAGAAGTGCGCTAAGTGCCACACCATGTCTCCAGCTAAGGCCTGTGTTGTCCTGATTGAGAGAGAGCAGGGCTTGCTGGGGCTGGAGGCAAGGCTTGCAAGTCCTTCCTGGCCCTGTGCTCTGTACTGCACTCTGCCCTGGAGAGCCGTGGTGCTGGCTGACACCAGTCATGACACCCATGTTCTTAAACATGAGGTCATGACTTCCTTTACCACCTACTTTCTCAGTCTCTTTTGCTGTTCTAAATGGTTTAAGGGACAGATGAATGTTGTTTCTTCTTATCTGATGATGGCACATGGATTCTATGCTCTGCATCCAAATGCAGATTTTAATTTCCATGGGGTCCGTGGTCGAGAGGCTTCTGCTTAAGCAGATAAATCACCAGAAAGGATGGTTAATCCACATTGGGGGAAATCAGATAACCTTCTATGTTTTAATGTTTCTTCTACTGAAAGAAAGTACTGGCTACCTCTAGCACAGAAATACCTCATGTTTTCAGCAAGCACCTGTAAGAGGGCCCCTTCCAACATGCGAGTGAGAGAAATACAGGGTTCTTACAAAGCGGCACTCAGCATTGCTTGATGCACCCATGTTCCCAGCAGTGGGGGTCTTCTGTGTCCTCTGCATCCCTTGGGGTATCACTCAAACCTTTAACCTAATTACAGCTGTTTTCTCGTACATGCAGAACTCCTTTCCCCTGCTGCCTCCCGCACAGCCTTTCTCTTCTCTTTCCAGCACCAGCTGTGCCACCTCACTGGCATCTCCCATCTACGGTCTCTCCAGTTCTGTACGGCATCTTTGCTTTTCCCTTCCTCTAGGTTTTACCCTGCTGCCCCCATTTCAGATGTGCTAATAGTAGTTAGACTGGCCTGTATAGCTGGGTAGAAAAGTGAGAGCCAGAAGATAAGAAGGGCTGTAATGAAGTTGCTGGTCCTCCATGATGGATTCTAGCCACACTCCCAACAAGATGATCTAATCATCTGGGTGCCAGCTCCCTCCCCCTGCCCCTCCCCCTGCCCCCTCCCTACAGCACTTTTACTCCGGGTTCTCTTTTGCTCTTCAGATGTTTCTACAAACACTTCCTCCCTTCTTTTCCCCCCACACTGTTCTTACTTTTTTTTCTTTCATTCAGGGGGTGCGCAGTATGATCAAAATCACATCATCCTCAACACAATGAATGCAGAGAAGCTAACGCAAGTGTGGGAAGCCATGGTCCTGTGAGGCTGAACCACGACTGCTGGAGGAGTATTTCCAGGGGGTTCTCTGGCCACCTTATTGAAGAAAAATACAATTACAGAGCTGCTGGGAGAGTCAAGTGGAAAGTGGACCGGAGGCCATGGCAGACAGAATTATCTTTTCAAAACCATTTGAGTTTGAAGCCAATAGTTCGTTGTTCTTGTTTTTGCCTTGTATTTCCTCAGTAGCTCCTTCAACAGGCTGCCCCAGTCGCAGCTGTAGGGTATAAAGATGTTTTAAAAATCAAGACAAGATCACGTCGTGATTTTTTTTTTTCCAGAAACAAGAGGGGACAAGACCTCTGAGTGTCGACATACAGATAGAGTCCCTTAGAGGGAAGGATAAAAGCCCAAGTTGGCTGTCAGAAGATTTTAGCATTGGAGCATGTGTTGCCAGACTTCTGATCCAGGCCTTAACACTTCCAGGACCACTTATGCTGGATGGCAGAGTGGCAAAGTCCTATATACTTATTCCAAGAAGTTTAATAAGTATAAACAAAAGACTATTTTCAGTTAATATTCAAATGAATAAATTTACAAAATTTCATGTTGATGTCTGCTCATGAACAGAACTTGGGTTACTTTAGTTAACCTATGGACTGCCCTCAAGTGTCTACAGGTAGTTTAATGGCTTCCTTACAGCTGCTCTTGGGACAGTATTATGGCCTAACTTATTAACCCTAACTTTGCTATCCACACATAATGCTAAAGCCATACTCTATACTTTTGGCTAAACAAAGACCTTTCAGCCTGGTTTCTCTAGGGCCACCAGCAGGATGACTGCTTTGGAACCGAGGACACCAGGACCTCTCTTCTGCAGCAGAGGTGTGCAGAGTGAGGGAGATATCCCAAGGGCTCTGTGCAGTGTTGTTGCAGAGGGTCACAGATCTCAGTGGGCAGATCAGGAGCAACTGTGTGATTCACTGGCCCAGCCATGCTGCTCAAACAGCACACTGTGCTTTCTAAGCCAAACTGCCAGACATTTCCTGGAACAGACCTTCCTCATCACTGGTGCTCTTGTCAGAGGCTGAACAAATCCTACTTCTGTTTCACCTGCTTCCTCTCTGGAGCCAAGGATAGGCAAGTGATCGTCAGGATAGCCTATCTGCAGTTTAAGCAGTGCACAGACAGCAGCATCCAGCATATCTGTCTTGTTCTGTGTACATCTCTGGCTGTAGTCCTTTTGTGTGTGTCGCTACAGTACAGTGGGGTAAGATGTCCTGTAAAAGCCTGTTGAGTTTGTCTCTTGAATAAACTTATTCCTGGTTAACTACAGGATGAAATCTTGGAATCAATTCAGCAGCCCTCCGATTCCAGCAGGCGTCAGCGGGCAGACTGGGACATGGCTGGCAGGAAATCTTATAGTCACTGTCCTGTTCAAGGTGCCCTGTGCACTCAAGGATTTAATGCACTGCCACCTGGGGGCGCTCAGGGACGAGAGCTGAGATGGTCTAGACAGAAGTCAAGTGGCATTGGCATTTACAATTAATTATATGAGACAGGCTCTCCATGTCACCCTGGCTGTCCTGGAACTCACTATGTAGACCAGGCTTCAAACTCACAGAGATCTGCCTGCCTTTGCCTCCCAAGTGCTGAGATTAAAGGCATGGACCACCATGTCCTGCTTGTTGTACAGGGACTGGAGAGAGGGATCAGCAGTTACGAGCACTCGGTGCTCTTGCAGATCAGGTTCAGTTTCCAGCACCTACATGACAGTGAATATTGTCTACCTCCAGAGACGAGGGATCTGACGCCCTCGTCTGGCCTCGGCAGGCACTGCATGCAACAGTGCACTTGTATACATGCAGGCAAAACATCTGTATATGTCAAACAGGTAAATCTGTACTGAGAAAATTCTGCAGTGTCTTCAGAGGAAACCTCATATCCAACATAATACTAAACAGACACCAGATAGGGATAAACGGAGGAGAGAGCTTCCCAAAACAGGTCTATTTACGTGAAAGGCTAGAAGCACGTAGCTAAGGGACAGTAAGGAAGATGAGTACAGAACAGCAATCAACGCCTTGAACAGATGGAGACAAGACTAAGAGTGGCAGGCTGACACCATGGTGGGCACATGAGGTCAGGAAAGTGAACTGCGGCAACATCCACAGTAAACCCTCAGAGAAGCATGGTGCCAGCATTGAAAGAAGCCCAGCCTCCATGCACAGTGTAAGGGCTTTAGAGTCGCCAGCCAGGTGTGGCAGTATACACTTATAATCCCAGCACTTGAGTTCAAAGTCATCCTCAGCTACGGGAGATCCTGGTCCCAAAAGAAAAAGTAAAGAAATCTTCTAGTATTAAAAGGAGATATCACACACACACACACACCACATACTGTGACAAAGCATCTGAGGTAATGTCTCAGGAAGAAGCTGTCACAGTTGGAGGTTTCATCTGAGGTGGATTCAGCTGCTTCTGACACTATAGTGAGACAGCACATCATGGCAGGTGTCTTAGGTATGGACTGCAGTTAAAAAACAAGAGAAAACAACTTGGGGAGGAAAGGGTTTCACCTCACAGATTACAGGCCATCCTGGAGAAAGCTGAGGCAGGAACTCAAGATAGGAACCTGGGGGTAAAACTGAAACAGAGACCACGGGAGAAGGCTGCTGACTGGCTTGCTCCTCCCGCCTTGCTCACCCCAGGACCACCCGGCCAATGGCTGAGGGAACCCACCCACAGTGGACTGGGTCCTTCAACATCAATTCTATCAAAACAATGCCTCTCGGGCTTGCCTAGGCCAATCTGATGGGACATTTTCTTAACTGAAGTTATCTGTTCTCAGACAACGCTAGCTTGTATCAAGTTCACAAAAAGCTAGCCAGCACAACTGGTCCCTTTTCAACTTGACACACAAACACATTGCTAGTCATTTATAACCTTTCCTTATTTGTCCCCAAGGTGTCATGTCAGTATCACATCACAATATAAAACATAACGGACCTTTAGAAGTCCCGGTCTTTAAATTTTTCAGCACTGTAAAAGTCTAAGTTCTCTTAGAAAACTCAAGTGTCTTTTTAAAAGTCCAAATTTCTGATCTGTGGGCTCCTATACACACACACAAACACACACACACACACACACACACTAACATACCTTTTTATTCCAAGAGGAAGAACCAGGGCATAATCACAATTCAGAGCAAAGATGTTCCGTGCTTGATATCTGGGACCCACTCATGATCATCTGGGCACCAAGGGCCTAGGAAGCTCCACTTCTCCGTCTCTGCCATTCCGTGTCCAGTTTGTCTCATAAGCTAGAGTTGGCTCTTCGCTGCGGCTGATGATGTCCTTGGTGGTCCACCCCATGGTACTGGTATCTCCAATATGTGTGGGTCACCACGACCACTGAGGCAGCACCTTCACCAGTGGTTTCTCGGCATCAGTCAAAGCAAAGGTTTTGCTTCAGTAGTTCCATCACAACTGGTTCTTCAGCCCCAGCTGACCAGAACCACAGATTCTACATTTAAAATATATCACAAATGGTTCCAGGCGTCTTTGCTTGCCTCTGAACTTTGTGGGCCAGGCCTCCATCACAGGGCTCCCTTTAAGCACACCTGGATCCCAAGCTCCCACAGAACAGCCCGTTAAGCTTTAAGTGCTTAACGGCTTTTCCACCCAAAGCTCCAAATAATCCTTGCCAAACAACATGGTCAGAACTCACAGAAAATCCCACTCCTGGTTCTGATTTCTGTCTTAGTTAGGATTCCACTGCTGTGATAAAATTGGTAACCAAAACCAAACTTGAGGAGGAAAGGGTTTATTACACTTCACAGATTACAGTCCATCGTGGAGGGCAGGAACTCAAGGAATGAAGGAGTCTGGAGGCGGGGACCAAAGCAGAGGCCACAGAGGAGTGCTGCTGACTGGCTTGCTCCCCTTAGCTTACTCAGTTTGGTTTCTTAGACACCCCATGACTACCTACCCAGGGATGGCACCTCCCACAGAGGGCTGGACCCACCCACATCAATCATCAGTCAAGAAAATACTCCACAGGCTTGCCTACAGGTGATCAGGACATAGGAGCAGGAAAGAACTGGGCCCTGGTATCTCCTCCAACAGCACCGCCCCACTTCCTCCCACTGGGTCCTACCTAAAGTTCTGCCACCTCCCAATATTATCACGAGTGTATGTTGCACATGTAGGTCCTCGGGAGATGTTCTGACCCATTTTAGAATCTCACAGACATTAGGTAAGATGGTGGGGTCTGAACTCAAAAACGTCACAAAAATCTACACAGCTGGGTCAGATCACAGATTACAAAACCAAAACCACTGTGCAGAGGCTGGAGACACTCTGCAGTTAAGTACACCGGCTGCTCTTCCCGAGGACTCAGGTTCAGTTCCCAGCACCTACATGGCAGCTCACAATCACCTGTTAATTCTAGTTCCGGGGCACATGACACCCTCCTCTGGCCTCCCCAGGTATAAGACATGCCATGTGTCTTATATATATATAAGCAAAATACCCATACACACGACAGAAAATAGAAATACATTAAAACAAGCCACCCTGTACTTCCCACTGACTATAGGCAAGTGCAGGAGCTGACTGTTTTGTATTGAGCATTGGCAAATGATTAGCAAAAAAGGCTACATTCCATGAATGTACACATGGACTGCCATAAAGAAACTATTCTGTATGTCAACTTAAATAATTAATTTTAAAAGTATTTTTAAAAACATGTATTTTTAAAATGTTTTTTTATTGGGCCAGTGAGATGACTCAGTAAAGGCACCTGCCACCAAACATAATGACCTAGGTTCTACCCCAGAACCTACATGGTAGAAGCACTGACACCAAAGGTTTTCTGTGATGTCCACAAGTGCGCCTGTCACGTGTGCCCACACATGCATTATATATTTTCTTTATCATTGTGGAGGTGTGTGCATGGGTGGGGGTGGGCGTGGGGGTGGGGGTGGGGCGAGAGAACAATCCTGTGGAATCAGCTCCCCCTCCCTCATGTGGGCTCCGGGAACTAAACTCAGGTAGCCACGCTGCACTGTGGGCAACGTAGCTGTGAGCTCTCTCACCAGCCCAGATTTAGGTTTTATACAGATCATGAAATGTAAAGTCTGACTTGGGAGAATGTCTGGTGAGAGCCAGATGTCCGGATCAGAGGCACTCGGCAAGCAGAGAGCAGCAGCTGATGGCTGGCACGCACACATTGATTTAGACTACGTTAACCACAGTCTTTCCTCGGGCGTGGCCTCTCTCCACCTTCAGGAAGGCTTCTGGGACTTCAGAAAAAGGAAAGGTCCGTTCAATAACTGGCCGAATCTATAAAACACAAGAGGAGACCAACGGTTGAGAAGAACGCCTACCTTGCCAAGGCAGAGAGTGTCTGCAGACATCCCTCAAGGCTGCCTCACGGCAGGGCCTCCTTGCCATGTGCTGACATCAGGAGCTCCAGCTTCCCCGACTTCTCCTCATTCCATCTCACCTCTCCAATCTTACCCTCAGTTTCACCTTTACTCCACCTCATCCCTACTCTGTGATGCTGACACTCCTGCTAAGAGCCCTGCCATTCCAAGACCCTACACCCTAACCTTGGCCTTCATGCTGCTTGACATTTTCACTTTTAGAAAATTCTATTTTATTTATTAGCATGTGGTTGTGTGTGGTGTGATGTGTGTGGTTGTGTGTGCATGGTATAATGTGTGTATGGTATGACGTGTGTGTGTGTGTGTGTGTGTGTGTGTGTGTGTGTGTGTGGTGGGTGTAGATAAATGCATTGTCTGTTACATGTAGAAATCAGATGACTCTCAGGAATCAGTTCTCTCCTTCTATCCTTCCTACGCATGGGGCTGGAGAGATGGCTCAGCAGTTAAAAGCACTGGCTGCTGCTCTTCCAAAGGAACAGCGTTCAGATTCCAACACCCACATGGCAGCTCACAGTTGTCTGCAACTACAGTTCCTGGGGCTCAAACACCCACAGCACACAAACTCAAGTGCACATAAAATAAACTAAATAAAGCCTAGTCCTTCTGCCCTGGTTTCTGGCAATCAAGGTTGGCATCAGATTTGCTTGGCAAACGCCATTACACTGAGCCATCCCACTAGCCCTCAGTTACTTTCTAATTCTGCATGCTGTGGTAACTCTGTTAGCCTCTTGTCCACACACCTGCATCCTGGCCTCCCAGCCCTTTCTACCCTTCACCTGCAGGTGCTCTCCCCTCTGAGCCGCTCCACGAGCCACTGAGCCCTTCTCAAATCATGACCTTACTACAGCTGAGTACAAGGCTCTGACGTGTTCCCTGTTGTACAGGAAGTAGCACACAGCATAGCTTGTTTTCTAGTCTTAAACATCTGCATAGATACTTAGAGCAGAAAGTATCTGTGCATAGACCACATCTTTATACTAATCTACGATACCAACATGTACTGTATACATCTGTAACACCAACATGTACTGTATACACTTATACATCTATACATCTGTAACACCATGTACTGTACACATTTGTACATCTATACATCTGTAACACCAACATGTACTGTATACATCTGTAACACCAACATGTACTGTATACATCTGTAACACCAACATGTACTGTACACATTTATACATTTATACATCTGTAACACCAACATGTACTGTACACATTTATACATTTATACATCTGTAACACCAACATGTATAATACCGACACGACACATGGGGTACTTAAGTCACTAAACTGAAAAGCGGTGAGGTAGGAAACAGGAGCCCTATGTTAGTTCTCTGGGCCTTGGGAATTCCACTCAGCAGCAGCACAATGCTTACACTGTACAGGATGAGGAACGCCAGCCCAGCCACTTCAGTGGGGTCTGAGTACTGCTAGCTACCCTAACAGTGCCTCAGTACTGACAGAAGCCTCCTGAGAGCAGGTCCCAGCAACACCCAATCTCTATGCAGAAGTCCACCTCAACTCCTCCTCCCAAATGTCTAGCAGACACAGTCACTGTCCACTGGACACCTCCCTGGACTGCTTCTCACAGCTCCACTGACAAGGATCAGCTGCCACAGGCTCACCCTGACTCAGCCTAAATGAGTCTTTTCCTTTGACAAAGGAAGAGATGGTTTACGACATTCAGATGCATCTGATGCAATTTCCTGATGTGACTTTCAGAGCTCAGACACCTAACGTTCCCAAGAGCTGAAGATTCCTCTGCACCCACAAGCCTGCAAGTCCAGAGTCACAATAGAGTGGGGAGCACCCTCACTGTTGGAGGAACCCCCCCAAGTGACATGCCTTCCAGGTAAGTGTCACTCCTTTCCTCTGACACTCTGGGGCACAGGGCTGAGTTACTGTGCCGAGTGGCAGGACTCACCTAATGTCACTGCCGCTGTTCCCTCCACTGCACAGGCCTGTCACTACCATCTGATGCTCTCCCCCTACCCAGGAAGGAGCGGAAAGGTATCCAGGGGTTACAGTGAGTTATCACAACCTGAATCCTAACCTTCCTTCCATATGTCAGCTGAAGAGCTGGCCTCTAAAGCCTGCGTCCAGCCCCCCAAAGATGGCAGACGACATGGTACACTGCTTAGAGAATATCACTAGCTGATGACCCCCAGCTCTGAGTAGGACCTGACCCTTCCACAGCACTACAGAAGCACATTAAGGGCTGGGCTGAGCTGCCTTCTCTGTATTGAACCCTAAGCCTATCACTCCCCTAGGAGGCTCCAAGGACGCTTTACCCAATGCCATTTAGCTGGTAAATGGATGACTGCAAGCACAGGGAAGACATTCTCCAGCGCCTCTCAGTACAATGCAATCAGACTCTGGGGGTAGGGAACAGAACACGTTCTGAGTAAGTTCCAGAAAGGTACGTACATACTTCTGAGAGAATCTCTGCCTTTTTTGCTTTATTCTTATACACCAGACACCACCATCCACATATTCCTCCATTCTACAAAGCTCACTAAGCCTCCTGCCTGCAGAGCACTAGCTAGAGCAGGTACACAAACCAGACTCCACTCCAGAACGCACTGCCTGAGCCATAAGCCATGCCCCCCTCAGCGCTCTCTGCCAGAGCCACAGAAGCTGACCTGCTGACCGGACGCTTGTGGTGGCTGCACACTTTAATTTGACTGGGCAGGCCCTTTGTGACAAAGAGCCGGAGAGGGCTGACCATGGCATAATAAGTCATTTAGCAATTCCTGTAAATGACAATGGGGGAAAAAAGGCTTTCAAACTACAGTCAAGCAAATGCCCCCAGTGGCTGAATCTGTGACAGTCCGGGGAGATTAGCCGCACAATGCACGGGTGACCACTATACAGCCACACGCTGGACCTAGAATGCCTGTCTGTTAAAGACAAAGGTATTAGAGTTAACTCCAGGGGGGAGAGAAAGCTTACTCAAAGTCAAGTGCGACATTATGTGATGACACTGCTATAGTGCACTTGGCAAGGGGAGCCCTGTTATAAAGCAGGCAGGCTCAAAGCCTCACACCGGGGCTCACAGGTGACCAGGAAACGCCCACGGCAGCAGCCCTTATTCAGTGTGGGAGCCAAGTGTGTGGTCTCCTGAGCACACCTTCCCTCCCTTACACGGGACCCAGGGCCTGGCACTTGCTCCCTGGCATCCTTTTAACACGGGGACTCAGGAAATTCACCCTCCCTAAGTATGAGCTTACCACATACAGCACTGCTGCTGACCAGCCCCTAGGCAAGCCTTTGAGGGGCAGGAAGAGCTACAGGGGATGAGTGCCTGAGAATTTAGGACAGGAAACTGGAACACAAGTGCACCAGTGGTCCATGCAAAGCCAAAGCTCTCAGGAGCCCAGCCGGAGTCCAAATCCACACCCCTGTGAATGCCGCCAGGACCACAGTCCCAGAGCCATCTCTGGAATGGCCACACCCAGTTTCTGTTAGCCCAGGACTTCCCAGACCTATCAGTGTCAATATCCAGGAGGAAGGAGGTTCTCAATCTCCAGGGATAAGAAGACAACAGGAAGAGGCAAGTTCTGTTCCCGTCTGCTGTTTCTTGGGCACTTCCTATGCTCAGAAAGGAGCACTGAGGGATGGGGATGGTGGGTGAAGCTGTGCTCTAAGAGAACGGATGCACCCATCAGGAGAGCATGCACGAAGCAGTCCCTCCCAGCCAGGCGTGTGGAGGAGACAATTCCAAGAGCTTGGAAATAAAAGTCAGAAAAGCCAAGCATGATGGTCACATATGTGACCCAAAGCCAGGGGCTAGCTATGAGAGCATATGAATTCAAGGCCAGCCTGGGCTACATACTGAGACCTGGAACCGTGTTTTAAAAAAATTAAACAAATAAAAAACAAAGGCAAAAAACAAACAAGAAAATAAGAGGAATCCAGAAGCGTCAAGGCTACAAGATGAGATGCTGAGGTATCAGGTAAGCTAACCCTTTCTAGTGGTTGTCAGGATCTAACGGTCATATTCCTCCAATGGAGCAGGATCCAGTTGCAGCATGAAGCTTGAGGCTTGGATCATGGTCTACTGCTGAGGTAGCCTGGCCATATACAGGAAATCATCTACCTCAGAACTCTGCATTCCTGCAAAGCTAACGTCTAATACAGCGACCTCCTGACACATGTGACTAGTTAAATTCAATCAAGTGAGTAACCAGACTGGAAAGGTCAGACTCCCAGCTGCACTAGCCACAATCCTAATACGCAATGTCCTGAGGGCTTCAGTGGCGCCTGCTGACCGCCTGGAGAGGCACTGCCACCACTACAGAAAGCTCTGATGGGCAGTGCTGACGGGGAAGTGACTACTCCCAGCAAACACACAAAACAGAGCACGAGGGAGTCCTCAGTGGACTCTGTAGACTGAGCTCGGGTTACATGGGAGCTCTTCTGATGGCAACAAAAACAAAGACATAAAGTCCGGGAAGATTATGTCACTGCTCAGCCAAGCTTGAATCCTCACCTAGAATTCGGAAGAGACCTGAGCATTAAGTACATGACATGAAAGGGGCTTAAAATTTTCATAGGCAGGCATAGTAGTGCACGCCTTTAACCCTAGCACTCAGAAGGCTAGATCTCTGTGAGTTCCAGGCCAGCCAGATCTATCAACATAGTGAGTGCGTTCCAGGTCAGTCAGGACCCTGTCTCAAAACAAAAACAAATAAAAAATTGTGTAAGGAATATAAGTGTGCAGGTAAGGATGTGCAAAAGGCTAAAGGGGGCTGGGTGTGGCTTTTAATCTCTGTGGTTTTGACACTAGCCTCATCTATATATAAGGTTCTAGGCCAGTCAGGGCTACATAGAAAGACCTTTTCTCAATCAATCAATCACTAAATCAGTCAATGGGATCGAGGCAGTACA